GCTGTAAAACCCTCAGCATCCACCGCGTGATCTTCCCATAGCAATATTCTGCATTTTACAGTGATAAGCTAAGACCATCTGTAAATCCACTGTCCAGCTTAACTAGCCCCAGAACCGTGGCAAAAACTCAGAATCTGTAACTGAACGAGCACCTACTTTTAATCCAGCTCTGCACTGCACCACCTCTCACTGCTGGGAAGAGCTGCGTTCGGAGGGACAGAGCTCTACCAAAAATCTGCAGAAATTCACAGGGCTATGGCGGCCTCCTGCGGCAGGAGGGAGGAGGACGGGCAGGGACCGGCCCAGCAGGCGTTCTGCTTTTGCTAAGGTTTTGTGGCTTTTGTTTTCTCCAGGCTTTCAGTAGGGCATTTCACGAAGCCAGGAAAACAATCCATTCTCCATGCCCGCAGGGAATTCCAGGGACAAACCAGGCTCTCTTGAGATTTCTACCAACACCAATGATCTCACTTGCCAATGCAGAAAAGCATATCCTGAAAGCACATGAAAATAGAATTACAGAATCATTTGCTTGGAAAAGACCTTTAGGATCATGGAGCCCAACCGTACCTCAAGCTGTGCTCAAGCCTTCTTGCTTTGGATAAACAGGGTTAAGTTCTTCCGAATATTCTGTTTGAGTACCAAGTCTTAGTACTGCATATTTATGATGGGTTACATTATTCGTAGACAATTACTTTCCATGTTAAAATAAATGTGAATATTCATTAATGCTTCCCAATTCCCTATTGTCGTTTACTATCCATTTAGAATGTGTAGTAAGAAATAAAATACTGCCCAGAGCAATCTGGGAAATCCTCTCATCAGCCTGCCAAACTCCTTTATAAGTTACTAAATACTGAAACATACTAAAAACTCATTTCACCTCTCTTACCTAATATGAAGCCTCGAGGCTTTAAAATTACACTTGACCTTAAAACCTAGTATTTAATGTAGTTTAATGGAAATCCTGGAAGAAAGCTGGGAATTTACCTCTAGGACTAGAGGAAACGTTAATCTGCTTATCATCAGAAAAAGAACATAGGTATCAGAGCGCCATATTTATAGCAAACTATCACCCGACACAGGACAACATAGCACTGACCAGGAACTTGCTACAGGTCGAGTACCTGTTAATAGGAACATATTCAGAACATCGCTAGAGTGCTGTGCCCAGCTCAGCAGCAGACACCTGTCGATTGCCAAAGCCTTTCCATACCAACTCATTGATCACAACCTTTTGCGTAAGTCTTCCACAAAAGCGAGCAAGTACAAGACTCGCTGTTTGTGGGATAGGGTGATTAGATCTAAAGTGTCCTTAGGACATGACAGAAAGGTATTTTTGGATAATTCAAGGGCCACAGTAAGGTCGTTTTTTAAATTAAGTCTAAATGATCAGATATTTACCATTTCAACTGAGACTGTGATTATTAACCAAGTGAAAAAAAGCCTATCAAGTCCTTTTACAATGCAGGCTCTCACTTCAATCTCAGGCCAGCTCCTCTGCTACCATATCTTATACGCACAGATAACCCAACGCTTTCATTTCCCCCATTCAATTCAGATACGATGTACATACGTAGACAGGATACGATATCCTCCACATCTGCGAACTGCCACATTCTGTAATTAAACTGATGAGCCTGATTATACGTCAGAGCTGACGTCCAGACCCAGGCTACACAAGATAATTTTGTCAGTGTTTTCAGAGCCTGACCCATCATATTATAAATGTGCACATACAATCTTATAACGCTGCCAGAATCGGGCCATCAATCATTAAATTGGATAAACACAAAACAGTATAACTTAAAAAAAAAAAAAAAAAGACAGACATGTCCCCCAACCAAAACCCCTAATATTTATTTAGGCATGTGTTACTGTGCTTAGGAATTAAGGATCATGATTTCTAAAAATAAATAATTAGAAAGCAGCTCTGATGCGGACAGCTTTTTTTTTTTTTTTTACTTTTGAAAATGGCTATCCAAAAACTAGTGTATGTAATACTACTCAAAATATTATTAAAATAAGAAGCATTTCTTGGCTCATTTCACCTTGCTGTTTTCACCCACACAGAACTACAGACTCCATTTTAAAGGTGCTATAATCCTAGACAAGTAGGCACAATTTACCAGTTCTTTACATTGAAAGATGCTGATGCCAAGAACATATACACAGAATCAGCTCTCCTGGCATGCCGTTATAGTTAAGACACTCGGGATCTTCATCCTTGTTTCCCCCCCACCATTACTACACAAGACCTCTACTTCAAGCTGAGTAAGAGAGTAACATTTCAAGAGTTCAGTATTTAATCTGTAGACCTTCCCACTCTTCTTCCATCTTAAATTTTGATTGGACTTTTCCAATCAAAGGTGCACAGACCTTTGGAAGCAATGAAGCAACAGTATGACTGCGTTGTTGAACCAGCAGAATTCTCTATGCTGTTTTCTAGCATCCAGCATGGAGACCACTTCTGATCACATTTATCTAGTACTGTTGATCAAGTTCATCTTCTACCGTTTCTATCTTAAAATAAATTATAGGAAAATCAAATTGGAAGTGACTTTAACAGTTTTACTTAAAAGTTCATTTGCACATGGAGAAGGCAGGCTTAAGTCCTCTGCAGGCTTCATTTAACTGCATGTAGTTGCAGGTACTATGATTACTGCATCAGAAAAACAGTGTCATTGCCAAAAATTTCTTCGCAGTTCAGAGTACGTAAGATACCCCCTGCTTTTCAGCAACCCTATCCACATAAAAAGATAACTGTGAAAAGTTCAATGTTTACTACACTATAAATACCATGATCTCAGAAATTATACTTTTAGGCAAAGAAGGCACAAGTAATAAATATTTAGTTTTAGATCTTTTATGAGCAAAGATGTTTTAATGTGTCACATTTCAAGAGCATGAATCTTTCTTTACAAGAAAAGAAAAAAATCACTTCATAGATTTGGAGCTACAGAGGTCCACAAGACTTTCTGCAAATTAACAGTGCATGGAATACATGCTTCATACATAAAATATTTTGCAATAGGATTGAGAACACAGTAAGTGTTAAACAGTATCTAGAGTTAAAAGTACCTGAAAAGAATCTCTCCTTGGAGAGAGAGATTAATTGAACATCCTCCTGGACAGCTGTGCAAGTTCTCCACAAATACTTTTCTGTACAAATGGTTTAAAAATCACACAGCAAGTTCTGGAATATTCAAAACAATGATTTGATAGAACAAACATTCTATAGTTACCTCAATTCCATATTATTTTGTTACCACAGTTATCATGGCCCAAGCCCTGTGCGTTGGTGCTGGGATTCATGGCCTCATCCATGCAACATTATCTGTCTCAAGAGATCAAACTTTAGCCCTTGTACTAAAGCCCAAATGAGTGACTGAGTAAATTCTTATAAATGCTTTTCTGGCACTGAACCCCTTCCCTCCCATATAAATAACTTGACTCATTCAAATGTCAGATATTAAGTAGCAGACTTATCAAAGAGAGGTCATGTATAAACAGCACAGTCAAAAGCTACATCAGATGTAGGAAGACTAGTAGCTGAAAAACATGTTCAGCATCTTTGAGGGCTGAAGTTTCCAACACCACTGCTAAAGAGGAAAAAGACTAAAATGAAATTTAAAAATTCAGTTTGTCATTTCAGTAACTGTGTTTTGTCATTCTATACAGAATAAAGTTAAAATAGTTTATTTGTGCAGTGATGAGGGAAACTTGACAAAGAAACTAAGTCATCATCCCTCCCTTCAGAGATCAAGTCCAGAAATCAAGTATTTTAAACGTAGCTTTTCCTAGCAAAAAAAAAAAAAAAAAAAAAAAAAAAAGTTTTAAGGTCTAAGTGCTATTTGGTAGCATTGCCTAAAACCAGAATTATATTTGCGTCGTAACATAGGTGTGCGTGGTTTGGAAATTCAATAGCAATAAAATTGAGGTGAAGAAAACCACACTGCACAAAAACTACCTGGAGCTACACACTGGCTAGTAAACCAAATTAAGACAGAAAGGGTGGAAGTTTTTCATTTACCTACTCAGCTGCATATGTAGCGTATTCTATAACTATTCTGTGACTACTAGAAAGCAGGCAGAACAATGACTGGACTGATTATTGCAAGTTACCTGACCAGACATAACTGGTCTGAAAGGGAAACAAGAAGCTTCACACCTAATATATCATTTCATCCTTTTTCCTATGAACAATTAGGAAGTTCCTATGAACAGTTAGGAAGTTCCATTTTCCTCCCTTCCATTCAATGAGCAACAAACCTGATTAAATTAAGAGGAAATTGATTCTACAGCCATCTTAACCAGGCAGATAATTAGAAGGACACTATTAACTCCTTTGCCACCATGATCACATGTTCACTTAAATCGTAAATGCCGTTATTTCTTCCACTTCATCCAGGTAGAAGTGTTCCTCAGAAAGGAATTCTAATGCAGAAACAAATATTATCCATCCAGATGGACTTGACATTCTAATGCTGACAGCCTACTGACAGACATAATGAAACAGCAAAGATGCTCCACAATTACAAGAATGGCACAGCAGCCAGTGGAGTGAAACAAGAGCCCTTCCAAATCTGAGCTAGCAAGGGAAAAAAAGTTACTTAATTTAAAAGTTTTTATAACAGTGAGTATACCTTGCAGTAAATATACTCTTGCACCTGGCTACTATATTTATTAAGATCCATAATTTTCACATGAAGTTCCTTCAAGAAGTAGATGCTATCGCTAAACAATAGTTTTGTTCCAGCAGTATCTGATGATCAAATGACTGAGCTTTATACATGTCATTATGCATAATTAAGCTACAGTAATCAAATTTTTCTGAAAACCCCTACTACTAACATGACAACACCAAAGCACGCAGGCATTGCAGGCTCAAATTTGTTTGACACACGTGTAGCACCTGTTCACAACGACAGAACAGCATGTAAGCTTCCTGAAATACCTTCCTATCTAACCCCATTCCATCAGATGTGGGGTTTCCTGGCTTTTTCCAGTAAAGTTACTTCCATGTCTATGCGCATAAACTTAATGAATATTCAACGTACTTTTGTGGAGAGAGGGGACTAAAATTTACACACATCCTAGACTGACACTTGCTCCTTTTCTAAGTATGCATATAAATCTCCTTTGGGTGCATTCATTTAGCAGGTACATTTTAATTTGTTCCTGAAACTCCTGACCAAACTGAAGTCTTCTTTGGTCCCTCACCCTAAAACCAACTTCCCATTCATTAAGCCAACAGATATTAGAACTACAAATGTGCAAAAGACTTCTAAAACATTGGCTTCCTTTGTGAAAAGACTATTTCAAAATAAGTGTAATTGTAATAAGTGCAATCTTCCTTTCTGGAAAGCTAGCTACTGCCATGCCATGGTAGCCTGACAGGCAGAGCAGAACCAGGGGCAAACCTAGATCCTTGCAGTGGAACTCGGCACCAAACCCAGAACCTGGCTTAAATGCGGTATTTAGGCCTTGGCCAATAAGTCACAGTATTACCATCACATCAGAAAGGGGTCTAAATACAGTTACAACTCAAGCTCAATATTCTCGTCAGTAAAAATAATTGAGTAAATCTATACTGACCGAGTGAGTTAATGTTGGTAAAAAAGTGACTGCCTCTACTGACTACACTTCACAGGCTAAACTATCTGGCTAGCCACAGAATCTGCTTTTGATTTCTCCTGTGCGTTGGTTTTCTTTTTTGCCCTACAAGTTATCTGAAAACTAAAAGCAGCACGAGAAATACATACACACAGGGTATGCCTTCAGAAATTCTTTCGTTTCTGCCCACTAGAATATAACTGGAATAACTGACACACCTTGACAGCTGCTTAGGAACACTTGTGACAGGTATGATAACGCTTATTATCTACAGGTATTCTATCCAGCAACTTTCTTCCTAGTCATCACTATTTATGAAGTGCACTGTTGCTAAATGAGCTATTTACAAATGTAAACTATGTAATTAAAGTTTTAAAATAAATAGACAACCTTTATATTAGGTAGCAACTTGACAACAAGGTAATAGATCATCCAATAACATCTTTCAAACAAAATTATCTGCTGCTCCATTTTTTTTTTTTTATGAGGAAAATCCTTGGCTCACAATCTATTCTGCAAGAACTTCCTTGGTTTTCTTCTTTACACTGGATAATTGCGTAAAAACTCCTTAAGTTTTGTTGGATAGTCTGTCATCACTCCAGTTGCTCCAAGGTCAAATGCCCTCTTGTATTCTTGTTCTTCATTCAGTACCCAAATATACACCTATGAGACAGGATAGAGAGACAAATTATTACAGGAAATACTCACATTCAAATAAAAAAGGTGCCTTTCGATCTAAATCGTTTCATGTGAGAGAGATGATGCCACATGTATTTCAAACGATAAATGATTACACTGTGATGCCAAAAACATATACAGAAACGTATCCAACTTCTTCCTCCGAACCCTCTAAAAGGGAGCATTTTCTAGTGGTGACTCTGACTCCATTCCATTGCCTGAGACTTCAGGTATTTCCAAAAGTCAAAATATTATTTTGTGAAAAGCCCCAAATAGGCAAGCAGTTTAGCAGATTTTGTAGGCTTCAGTTTGAAGTGGGGAAAAAAATAATCTTAAAGGGATTTAAATTAAAGAGTCTTTTTCCAAGCATACAATTCTTCCTTTGCAACTACAGAACTGCAAATATAACAGCATAAGCTATTGCTCAGGAACCAAATAGCAACATATAATCCTAGCAACACAACAGAACGTGTTGCAGAGAATGTGAACCCATCTTAAGGCTGTATCTGGCTGGTTCAAATTCTCGCTAGGTTAAAGGCCCATTTCCTTTAGCTTTGCCACACTGTACCTGAATGCCCCGAGCAGTGAGGTGGTCAAAAAGTGCTTTTCGCATTAGCAATCTGCAGAAAGATAGATAGATATTATTTAAGAACTTGAAGTACGTATAAAGTTTTCAATGCCTATTGATGTTCTGTAATAAATTTTCCATAGAGCATTTAGATTTGGTGTTTTCCGCAAGAAAGTGATAATTACAGAAAACTTTTAGTTCAACCAACTCAAGACTGGTTAACACAGATACCCAGCAATTTGCAGTAGCTATAGATATTTGTATCAGCTTTTCTGAAGATCAAATCCAGCAGATTCCTCCTTCATCACATACCCTGTTCATGATCCTACCCTGTACCATGTCCGATGAATCAATCCCTTTGCTTTCATAGGAGATTTTATCTTTCACACCAGAAGACGTGAAAACTCTACTGGCCACTCAAGAAATCAAAATACCAGATGCCAGACACAGAAGCAAGAGCCAATAGACACTATTGCAACCATGTTCAACCTCTGAAAGCACGTGACTATGCTTCCTCTGAAGCACAGATATTCTTCAAATGCAAAGTGTTCCATGTAAACCAAACGGTATCTCCTCTGCCAATGTTATGAAACAGTCACAATCCCATGAAATGTGAAGCCGCATTCTGAATCTACTTGCATGCTAATTAACCGAACACACTTAACGACAGAAACTAAATAGACTAAATTGGAATAATGCCCACTGTTACTGCACCTCAGTATGTTTCAGCATATGAAAAATAAAAGCATACAGGAACACCTACATGAGATTTGAATATGATTTATGCTGCACTGAGAAAAAAAGCCAGAAGGACCTGAAAAGAATTACAACATGACAAGTAGCTATAGCAATAGCTAGTCTTAGTTGCTTGTGCCAACCGTTAATATATAGGCAAAATATAAATAAAAATGTAATAAGATAAAAATCTTACGCATCAGCTAGCCAGATAATAAATTTCTGGCTTCTTGTCATCTTCTGTGGTTCTTTCAGCCTGTTAAGGAAGAGGAAACAAAAAATTACCAGAGCACAGATTAAAATATTATTTGAGATGTTCCTGCAAAAGGAACATAAAGAATTAATCTTGCAGTTTCTCAAATTAGCACAGTAATTTCACTAAGACAGTGACTTAGAATCGGGTTACACAAGAGAAATGTGCAACATTTAAGAGAAGCAGCAGAGACGGGTATTCAGCAGCATTTGGAGTAAAGTATGAGAAACAAAGGGGTCGTGAAATCTCATATCCACCCTATTACTGATTTGCCTCTTGGCCTTATTCAGACTAATTTGTTCTCAAGAAAGAGGGAGAAAAGTGCAAGAATTAGTAACACGTAGCAGTGCTGTACAAATAACTATCCAGACGGCATCAGCACAAGCTGCATTGTAAAGGCAGCTGCGTGAAGGTGGTACTTACAGGAGATGCTGTAAACAGGTTATACACAGGCACCCCACAGTAACAACTGAGTAACTCAGAGCTGGCTAGAGACAGGTTAAATACAGAGGAGCAGAAGATTCGCACAGCTGTCTCTTAGGAATATACAAAAGTGCCTAAACTAACAAGTATCCTCAGCCCAAGGATACGAACTAAACCAATGCTCAAGCCAGCATTATCATTCACTTGTTTTACTATCATTTCAGGGCAGCACCCACTGATGGACTATAACTTACTTGAGGATGATTGAAGGCATGGGAATTTCCAAGAATTCTTCCTTGAAAGGAATGAATGGCAGCAGACCAGTGTAGAACAGGCCAAGAAGCAGGAGGACACGTTGCAAACAGAAGATGATGGGAATGTCAGCATTCTGCAGGAACCAGGAAAGAAAGATTCTAAATTATCTTGGTAGATTGTTGAGTCTGCTGCAATTAAATGTACTCATCAATGCGTGCCAACTGTTTATGATATGCCTGCCACTGAGTTTAAATTACTCTTTCTGATAGCCTGTAATCCAAGCAGTTCTATACAATTTGAAGGGACATTGGGACCTGAAAAGGTAAAGTTTCACCAGTCACAGTACTCCTTTTGTTACCTGCCTTTATCATCTTTCCAGACTGCATGACATTATGCAGCATTTTTGTCTTAGACTAGTATTACCATGAAGGACAAGTTGTGCTTTAGCACAGGACTTGTTTCAGTTTGATATCACATCAACTCACTGCACAACACATTTTTAAAGATGGCGGTTTATAAACCAAAAATCTTTGGGCATTTATGCTATGAAAATGAACAAATATAACTGCTGCTCAGGCAGGAAATGTTCTGATTTATCTGTGCAGGACAAGACACCAATACCTGTACTCTCAGTGCAATCACTCATTTCACTCAGGTGCATAACTCCCTCAGACTAAGTACAATTTTAATTTAATCCTAAATTGTACAATTCCTCAGCACAAAAAGGAAAAGACTCTATAGCCATAAACCAGCTTTATACCAATATAACTGTATCAACTAGTGACCACATCCATTATTTTCATAAAAAGAAACACACAATAAGCAGTCCTTAGAAAAATTGCTTTTGTACCAGATGAGTGATGTACAAAACAGGCTCTAAGAGTTCCTGGCATAAAATTGTTAACACCCTATATTTTACAGAAAAAGAAGAAAACATGATTAAGCTTAATTCATCAGGTATTTTACTGCAGAGTATACAGGTGTTAACAGTGCTTGATTTATTGTAACAGTGTAGTAAGCAGAATGCAATCTAAGTGCAGAATTTCTCATCGCATCTGAAAGTCTGGCATAGCTGGCTAGATCTTGATTTACGGAGTGCTTTTCTGTACATTTTGTCACCACACAGTAACAAGTAGGCAAGAACGAAGCTTAGCTGAACCCATTCTTACCTCCTTAAGACACTTTGATACAACCTCGTAATTGGCATTCCCCCATACTGTCAAATGCTCTCGCTTATAGTGACTCACCAGCTCTGAAACCTGCAATATAGAAAAAGCAGAACCCTAACATGTATTCATTGAAAATGATGTGCAGAGTTATTTAACCGAAACTCTACTTCTTACTTTTCAACTACGTAAATCATTACAGAAAAGATAGTTCTTCTATATTCTCTCTCCCATCTTAAGATGACTGTGCTGATTTGACTGGAAAGAAACAAGTGTTCAGGTCAACAAATAAAAAGACCATTATACCTACAAAATCCCCTAGATCATTTAAGAAAACGAGATGAAAAAAATAGTATCTGATGGAAAGCAGATTTCCTTTTCTGTAAGGAACACTCATCTTTTCACTGACATGTTTTTATGATGCTTTGGTGGGCAACAGTCTATAAGACGACCCTTCATATGTAGTACAAGCCAAACGTGCAGCAGTGTAGCATCAGTTTCATGCCAAGATAAAGGGTCAGTAAAGAGCTGTTTGCTGAATATCTTGCACAAGATCACTTCTCTGTCTTCCATATTACCTCATACACGGGGCAATATCTAATACGTGAAGGATGAAGCAGTCCATGAACACAGAGTTCAGTGTCACAGACTGCTAGCAACTCCAAGAAACTTTTCTTTTGGAATTCCAACGCCATTACAAGACATTCAGTGTCAGTTCAGCGTAGATTTCCATGTACCTTTTTGATCAACACGTTGTTGTTCACTTTGATGTCAATGTTGACAGGAGTTTCTGGAAATGCCTCAAACACCTCTTTCAGGAGTGGAATGCGGTTGTCTTTTCCCTCACACTGGCATTCTGGGGAAACAAGAAAGTTGTCACCACTGTGATCATTTTTAATACACCACAGATAAAAGCTGAGATGTCAGAGCACTTATTGTCTTAAGATTAAAAAAAAAAATACATAGTTCCTAGAATTAGCACACTTTTAAACTTAAAAAAAAAAAGATTACTTCAGTCAGATAGTTTAATTATGGCAAGTTCACTTCCATAATGAAAATGCCATGGGCATATTGCACATTTAGGTTTGAACTTCATTAAATTCAGTCATTATTTAGCAACAGTAGGAGTGCAGGCATCGTTAACATCCTGAAATAGCAGACATAGGCTCAGTTACCACATACCAAATGCAATGAGATTAATATGAAACAAGACTAAATAAGAAAACCTTTTCCTTTAGTAAAATTTACTGCAGAAGCATAGTGAGTGAAGGGAACAGAAGGCGAACCCCCCCCCAAATTTTATTCTCTGAAAGTTCTTGTTGCTCTAGGAAATTAACTGAAGGCTCTTGCCATCTCTTTGTATTAGTATGCGTAAAAATAAATAAATAAATAAATAAATAAATATATATATATATACACGTGTGAAAATAACACATCACAGAACTCATCTTGGTGTATGGTAAGTATTTTGCAATTTTGAACAGAAATGTTTAACACAAAATTTGTTTGCTGGGCAATTCAAATATGGAAAGGCTACACAAGACAGTCTGAAAGCCCCCCAAGCTAGCAAACACATCCGATCATTTCTGTTAGCCTTTTCTAGGTGGAAGCGCTCTCTGTTTTAGACTGTATGCTTTATTCAAATTATAGTCCCACGAACCACAGTTCTCACAAGAAAACAGGTTAATCTTTTTCTAGGTTTTCCTCTCTCTTTTCCTCTTCATTTTTCAGAAGAACAAATTTTCAATCAGCACCCTCTGAAGATCTCACCAGGGAACTGGAAAGCAGTTGCAAGAAATAGACAAGCAAACAATTGAAATGTTTACTTGGAAAGTTATCTTGCATCTTAAACTTAATCACTGCCAACTGATATAAAAAAAAAATAAATTTTGGTTTCTAAAGCTAGGATTGTATTTTCCTTTTAAAACTTCTCTTATCAAAATACTGATAGAAGCAAATCCACTTTTCTACTCCCTTTGCCAAAATAAGAATTTGCCACACTACAATAACAGAAAATTAGTTACTGGTACTGTAAATTGAAACAGCAAAGGACAAAACCTTACCCTTCTGAAATGTGACATCCAACTTGTAGAGGTATGGTGGAAGTTCCTTAAAAATAAAGGGAAATGGAACACTAATTCAAATGCAGGGATGCAATCATGACTTTTCTCAAAAAAGACAAAAAAAAAGTATTCGTAAGCCACATAAGTTATCTTTAAAGACAAAAATTGTATTATTTTTTTTAAATCTTCTTAACCAAAAAGTGTTTTAGAAGCACTGTGTTCATTCTTACTTGAACTATTTGGCATTCTTAGACTTTGCGGGTACCTGTAGCTGAGTAAGGCAAAATGTTTCTAGACTCCTGTCTGAAAATTCCAAGAATTCCACTTAAATACCAGATGGAAAGACACTTCTGTAAAACAGGCTTTTGAAACTGTCAACACGGTAGATGAGTCCTACCTGGTTTTCCCATTAAAAAGCTGGTCATACGAGAAGCAGCTTGTTGACTAAGCTTCCTTTGTCATCCGTATGGCAAAACAGGCCCACCTCCAGAAAGCTGTTCATCCAACCTACTATTGGACAGAGTTAATCCCCCTCTGGAAACGTGCCGGTTTCTCCTTCCTTGACTCCATAGGGAGCCTAGTTAACTTTTTTTTTTTTTTAGTAAGACAAGATGAATCCCCTCCTTAGATGTTGGACACTAGACAGACACACGCACACACAACCTTCCTGCCCACCCCAGCCACTCTACAAACAGATTTTTAAACATCATCTAGCACTAATGTTTTTTCTTCTTCAACTTACAGAGTATTTGAGGTCAGATATGTTGACATCAACTCCTGTTGATCTCTTCAGGTTCTCATCATGGGACACAACCACTTGCTCATCTTTCGTCAGGTGACAATCTAGCTCCAACATGTCTGTTCCTATATTAACCGCACTGGAAACAAAGAAGTCTGCCTTGAACCACACATGTTATTTCCTACAGGTCGAAACCTAACACATACATGTTACTCAATTAAACTGATCCCAGTGGAGGTACTTTAGATGCTTTATGATGCAATGAGTCTTCACAATCCTGCTGCAAAGCAAGAAGGAAATAACTCCGCTGTAGTGGGAAAGCTGATGCAAGAATAAACAATGTACCATGAATCAGAGACGGGATTTGAACTCGGGAGCTCTGGCTCCATCTTCCATGGTAATGAAGCAGCATACCTGTTGACTGCAGCCTACCACTCTGGTATTGAGAAACCTACTTCCAGAGCATTGTTTCAGAATTTTGAGTGTGATATTTATTAGTATCAGCACATTTACCACTGGAAGAAGCGAGCTCTCTTAAAAAAGCAATCAATTTTGTGGTAAGCATAAACAACAAATGACAGGGATGTGAAAGCCTTTTTTTACTTGATTTAAGTTAACTGGGAATGGATGGATCAGGAAATAAGCAATGGTGCTTTCAGGCTTTTGGCTTTTTGGGTAGCAAAACTACATTTAAAAAAAATTATTTTAATGAAAAAGTTTTCATTTTAAATTAAAGAAAAGAAACACCCACTCATATTTTTCGAGGAAAAACAGCTATTCCACTCCAATCCGCTGCTTTGAAAAGTTCTAATCGAATCCCAAATCCACTCTATAGAAGCTTAGCTCATAGGAGTAAAGGAAGCAGAAAGTAGTAATAATACTGATGAAAAGCAAGTACAAGAAACCTCACACCAGAACAGAGAAACTAAGCTTTATTCCAGCGAGAAGTGAATTGCTGATTTAATTAGAAAAAATACTCAGAAAGTATCATTCCAGCAGACAGCTAGAAGACCCAGCCTGAAGTCTGAACACTTCCTTCAAAACACTGGGCTGTTCTTTTTACCTACCTACGAACACACGTATTAACATCTGTGAGGACAGTCTATACTGGACCCAAAGCTCTGCGCCTTCAGTTAACGGCCTTTTCCTTAAGAAAAGGACTTTACTGACTGCTGAAGTACAGGCATGCCATAAAACATCCACAAATGCAGTAACAAAACAAAAAATTAGAACATACTCCTGTAAGTGTTAAGACAATTTCTAGTCCAGCTGGGATAATGATCAAGAGGGGGGTTGTCAAATTAAAACCAATTTGTTAACTGTTTTTCAGTGCTGCTAATTAAGAATTAGGAGAGGAACAAAATCCTATTACACATGGAAGATACACAGCCTGTTCTCTGTAATTTTTTCTCCTGAGGAAAAGCATCTCCAAATATGCTGCAGGAGATGTGCCAAATTTCTAGTTCCCATGTAGTACCACGTATTATCATTTAACCAGCAAAGTTTATTAGAAATATTACTGCTTGAGAAAATCAGGACTCATGCTGCATGGAAAAAGGAGAACAACAACTTGCCTTGTTAACAAATTTGAGAATTTGCCAGGCTCTTACTAGCAGCTTGCTGCTAAATAAGCTTCCTTGAAGTGCTGTGTTTTTTCAGCTGGAAATCAGTTTGTTCTGCAGCTCTGTAATAACACATCAAATCTACATTGCTCCAGAGAAGACTCCAGATGTTCTCCAGATTCAGAAGAACGTGTTGGACTTCGATCCAACTGCTCCAGAACTCAAGTTGTAAAGCAGACTCACATTTGCAAATTAGGATGATAGAGCTCTTTCCTTGCGTTTAACTCCAACTGTTTGCAAGTAAAAAGACATACTAGGAAATACATAAGAAAAGCCTTACCTTGGAAACTAAATTCCATTAGGCGAGGCCTAATGTAGCACAGCCTATAGAGTTTATAAATACTAAGCTGACCACGTGCTTTTATTGCTGTAACTACACTGTTTAAAGCTCTCTCTCTAAACCAAGTATGTTCCTAAAAGAAAAGGAAATACAATGAGAAAAACATCTGGAGAGTTCACTTAGCAGCTTCCTGTCAAGACAGTGCTAAAGTACATGGCTGTATTAGGGACAATTAAAATCGTAATTAAATTCTTCTGACATCTTTTATGCCAGATCCCCAAATACTTTTAAGACACTGCAAGTGTCTCTTTTAGCTTATAGTAAGTTATTTTAAAATCTAAAGTCACCACAGAAGCATTTAAATACAGTATAACATGATTACAGCCCCCAAAAATCTATTAGGTATATTACCATGCAAATAAAAAAATACTGCCTTTGGTAAAAAATGCTTATTTGTAAATTAAGCTAGTATAGAACCTGAAATTACCAACGTGGCCTCCCCCCCATATACTTTCTTTATATATTACTAGAATAATTTCTTCATTATCATGCAAAAGAATTAAATATTCTCCAATCACTGTTGAAGTGTAAAAGGCATAAATAAAACTATTTGCTTGTCAATACTTAGGTTACTTTAACAAAGCAAAAACAAGGGGGTAGGTCTTACGTGGCAGACAAGCATTCTCTTCCGGATTCAACTACATCAATGGTCAAATACGCCTGCTTGTCCAAACCTGCAGAAACAGCTCTTGCAGGCACGCCCTATTTGGCTCTATGCAAAATTTGAAGGATTATAAATCAATCAGCTCATGCCAGCCATCCGAGCCAATCCAGCTGATATTTTCACCCCGCACAGATCACCACTTTTCTACACGATTCCTTTTGCTAGCTTACCAGTGGAGATGGGAATGAGTAGATGAGAAAGACAAAGCCATGACCCCCCTCCATGGAGGAAGCCAGAAGAGTTTCTACTGCTTAATGCAAAGTAATTGCTCTGACTCTGCTTTCTGCAGAAGTAACATGCCTTTATTATTCAGCCACGACAATTTCAAAACAAGTACATGAACTTTACTATTGGCAGTTGCGATGAGTTCAAGAAGTGGACCTCACATTTGTTACATTATACTCATAAAATAATTTAAATGGTCCGAAGAGTCTCAGAGAAATGTCTGTATTATCACAAAACATTATTTGCCTCTTGGCACAGTCCTTACTCTAAGTACTACAGTTTAATTCTGGGAATGAAATAAGAATAGGTTACAGTATAACTTTCTTTTTGTAAGAGTCCTATACATATAAAACTAGTATGATACTAAATGAAAATTAAGAAACGGTTAAAAAAAAAAAGCATTTCCCAGAAACTGTGGTAGCAAACTTGAAAAAAGGCAGGCCAGCAGGAAAAAAAACCCACAAAACTATGCTAAGCTTCCATGGAGATAGAAAATAGTGCAGTACTTTCAATAGCACTGTTTGGTTGGGAAAGCTGGCACTCCTCAGTCTGCAAGGAAGTGTGCAAACTGATGAGGCTACTTAGCACAAAGCAAATTAAAAAACCCAAACAAAACCAAGAGAAGCCTACATAATTTGGTCACCGCTCATTGGCAGCTGGAGTTTTAGATATGCTTCTTTTTCAAATGCCTTTGAGAACCTTGTTAGAATTCACTACTCAAATGCTGGAGGCTTAAAAGGCTTTCCAGCACCAACTCCATTTTAAACCCCTAGATAAGAGGCTTTCACACATTCTGCGAACAAAGTACGCGTCTGAAGGGAAAAAACATAACATATTTTAATAGCTTTACAGAGAGTATATTAAAAGTTAGTTAACATTAGGATTTCAGTCACAATAATTCTAGGAGACAAATTATTAAGCTTCCACATAAAGGAGGGAACTGAATACCATGAAACTGTGGAATATCTAAGAGAATTGCTTACAGCCATAATAGAGGCCAACAGATTCAGACTTCCTGAAATTCAGCCTTTTTTGCTAATTAGCATAACGGTATAGGCTATGATCTGAAATATCTTTTGCAAAACATAAATATATCTAGAAAATAACAGTGTATGAAATTAGTTACCAAAATAGCTTTATAATGATAAATTAATGGAAGCAATCGCCATTAAACATGGAAGCAGTATTGTTTCATGTTTTATTAGCTGGCACAGGAGGAATCGGGCCTCAGGATTTTTCTCTCCAATTGCCAGTCTACCACGTTATTGTGTGGTATCCCAACTCCTTGTTGAAATTGGAGTAATGTTAAGTAATCCACAGAAGTCATCCAAAGGAGAGACGACTTTCAGAAACAGGACACTGTACCCCAAACAGCAGAGGGAAGTCCTATCTTTCTTGATTACTTCACTCACTAAAGACAATGAGAACACCACTGATTTTGGCATTATCGGTTCCATTTGTACTCACTGGTGAAAGGCTGCCATCGTGTTTTCCAGGTTCTCTCCAGCACCTGCAAAAATAACAAAAACCAAGACATGTACAAAACTGTTTTCCTCCCCTCAATCCCAGTGGAAATAAATAAAAAATAATGGATTTTAAAATGCACATATTTTGAGGAAATATTTGGAAGAATGAACACAAAGTTAAGAGTCAGAAATCCCTGAGGCTGCTAACCTATTGGGGATGCCCAAGAGACAGGACTTTCTCAAGACAAAACAGTTAAAAAGAAAAAAAAAAAGAAAGAAAGAAAAAAAATAAAAAGAAAGAAAGAAAAAAAAAAAAAAAAAAAAAGGCTGTTATCTTGGATTTCTGTAACACTTTGAATACACAAAGCGAAGTGTTTATTTTACCAGAGGTTGGGTGCCCTGTTTTTGCTTAAAGGTGTTGTATTTAGCTATGACAACACGCTCCACAGACATAGGAACAGTATATGCAAAAAACCTATTTCAGTGTTAGAGGACTAATAAGAGGAAAGGTGACAAGAGGAGGAAAAAAAAAACCCACACCAAACCAAAACACTACCACAAGAAAAAAAAAGTGCCCAAGACTCTCCAAGGCTGATATTCCCTAAACGCATAACCCAGTTGGTGCTTAAAGAGGTGACAACCTCTTTTTTCAGTGCAAGGATACTTCCTGAAACAGCAGAAATCTGTCAATAAAGGTTTATGCCGCTGGCAAAGAGAAGTCTCATACAGCAGGAACGAAACCTGTATCGACTACAGTTAAGAAACGGAAGGACAAGGAAATGAAATTTTCTCTCAGGCAGGAGTAAACTCTGCAACTCTTAAGCCATCATTCTCTACATAAAAATCTTTGAAAATCAGCCTGGTCAGGGAATGGAGAAGGTTGTGTCTTCTCCCTCCCTCAGAAAATAGGAAATATTACATACTGAAAACAACTTCAGCAAGATACACGTACTGATGAGGGTATCTATGCAAATTTTACCTACTCTGACAGTGATGAATGACAGACTTTGTAAACAACAATTACAAAAGTTTCAATTAAGGCCTTGCCTATTAACAAGACCTTACCAAGTACATACTTATCTAAGCCTGTGTTTAGTTACTTAATTGAAGCAGCACAATTCTATGCATGCGTAACTAGCCATTTAAAATTGTTGTTATCAGGTTAGCTTGCATTGGTAAGTTTGCAAAATGAAAGACTTAACTGACTTTGAGCCATAATGACAAAATCTGCATGATTAAACATAAACCACTACAGTAAGTCCACAGCAGCTTCTGTGATTAGACATTCACTAATATTTTACAGAATTTGATTGCAGAACTAGGAATAGGCTGAGTGGCAGAAGTGACCAAGGGATAGAGGAGAACACGAGAATCTCATCGTGTATTTCTGATGACTGCCTAACAGATGGGAAAAACTTGCAGAGTAGCTAGATGATTAGTTATATGTTAACTGCAATAAAAATTGAGGGTTTAGATAACTTATCAGCTGTGACAATACAGCCCATGCATCCTGAATAGTAAGAGGGGCAGGGGGGGAAACTAAGTCGGTCTTCAATTTGTGAACAGAACAACCGTATCCTAACATTCCTGGGCAGAAATTTCTAAAAATAAAACTTTGAATGACTGATCTAACAAGTCACATGTTACAGAGGTAGGTATGGTGAGTCAAACCACTTGGTAACAAAACGCCTGACTTGTAGCGTTTTGGGGAAAGGAGGAAAAAAAGTTGAGAGATCAGCTGAAACAGGAATTCTACATCAGCAACATGGCTTTCACAAACCACACTCAGAAAAGGGAACTACAACTACAAAAGTGATTTGATGTACTAAATCATTTTCCCTCTTTAAAAATGAAAAGGCTGGGCTGACTGAAGGACTTCTGATGTTTACTGAAACACACCTCCAGATTCACGTATCATCCATTTGCGTTGTGAACTCCATGCATTTCCCATGCAGAAATTACCTTCCCCAGCATGCTTTCGCACCCTGTGAGCCAAAATGGCCACATCCAAACATTACGGTTGCATGCTCTAAATTGGAAAGCACCACCTTGGGACAAGAGGGAGTCAATGTCAAGCACTGGCTTGAGAGAAGACCCTTAAAAGTTCTGTTGTTTTGGGTTTCCCCTCCCCAACATAAGCAAAGCAGCACGTTAGGAAGAATGTTGCCAGCAGGTCAAAGGAGGTGATTGCTGGCCCCTACTCAGCACTGGTGAAACCACATCTGGAGGGCCGTCCCCAGTTCCAGGCTCCAAAGCACAAGACAGACATGGATCTACTGGAACAAGCCCAGAGAAGGGCTGTGAAAATTAAGGGATGAGAGATTCTTGCATACAACGAGAGGCTGAGGGTGCTGGAATCGTTTAGCCTGGATAGAGGGCTCAGGAGGATCTTACCAATATGTATAAATACCGGATGGGAGGGAGTGAAGAAGACTGAGCCAGACTTTTCTCAGTGGTGCCGAGGGAAAGCACAAGAAGCAATTGGAAAAAACTGAAATACAGGAAATTCAGTTTATAAACGTAAGAAAAACACCCTTCTTTTATTGTGAGGGTGATCAAACTCTGGAACAGGCTGCCCAGAGAGGCTGTGGAGCCTCCTCCTCCCTTGGATGTATCCAAAACCTAACTGGACAAGGTCCTGGTCAACCTGGTCTAGTTGCCCCTGCTCCGGTCAGATGAGATGATCTCCAGAGGTCCCTTCCAAACTCAACTATTCTGTGATTCTGTAAAAATCATCATGTTACCCTGTCTCAAAGACCCTGCAATCCAGCCCATGCAGCTGGCATTGATAGGGGACTTCAAGACAGAGCATCAAGACTTAATTATTCATCTCAGAAATGGCCAACTTTAAAAACTATAGAGAGGTGAAGAAATAATCCAGGGATGCTTCCACTGGTGAGCTATAAACAGAGATAAGAAAATCCTTGCATGAAGAAAGAAGCAAAATCAAAACCCGTAGAATTAAAAAAACCTTCACATACAAGGCTTCACCTCAGAGAGGAAAAAGCCAAACACGTTAAGGGTTATCTTCACCTCTGAAGTTAATTGGAGTAATGCAATAGGAAACTTTGACACTGCGTCTAAAGCTACAGCATGACTAAAGCCTGATGAGAACTTAAGTCCCACAGGAATCTGAGTTACAAGATAAATACTACAGAGAGTAAAGAGTAAGCGATCTTCAGTTTCATAATACCCAATGAGCAAAAAGCTGCCGCGATATTAAGGGCTGTACTTCTACCATAGGTGTATTTCACAGTATACACGCGGACGCAGAACAATTTGAAGACCGTGAACTTTGTCTCTGAACGCCTGATGAATAATCCTCCCACTCAGTAAGGCTTTCCTGTTGTTCTAATGCTGCTTAGTGCAACTGGCCGAAACGCTCGCGTTCTAGGCTTACGGCCGTGTATCTTAACTAAGGTCATTGCAAAGAAGTGAGAACAAAAGAAGATTAAGGAGATCATACCAAGTTCCAGCAAAGTCATCTGCAAGTTTTTAATAGCTTGCAAATTAACAAACAAGTAACAATCAAAATTGAGAACCTTTGCTCCTTAAATGAAAATACACGCCTACCAGGAAACGGCTAATATACGCATTCCAAACCAAAAGGTGCATTTTACGCTATACTTAAGACTATAGTTATAAAGAAACTTCATCTGTCTATAAACTAAATGAAAGAAACGCCAAGTAATAAAATCTGTAAGAGATCAGCTCTAGTTTTTATATTTTAGTAATTCAAGGCAGTAGCAGCAGTTAAGGACCATTGGCTAGAACCGCAATCACACACTGCGTAAAACCAGCACTAGATACGATGTTGAGAACTGTTTAAACTCATCATCTGACATATCTCCCACAGAGCTTCAGGAAAAATACTTGCTAGAAAATGAATTGAATGAAGCAGGAGGGCAAAGGGCAGAACTGGGAACTTCATAGAACAGGGAAATACAATGAGCTTTATTTTTTTTTCTCCTCCCAACACTTTGGAAAAGGTAGAAGAAACTTGAAAAACATCTTTTGGCTGTTTTAGATAGAAGCAAGCAGCCTACCCACAAGGCCTTGGCGCAAGGTGTATGGAAGGGACAAGACTCTCAAAATGGGATGGGTTTTACCACGGCACTGAACCATTAACTGTCTCCAACAGCAAGGGGAGCAAGAGCAAGAGTCACAGCAAAGCACATTGGTTCTGAAACCAGAAACCAAAGCAGACAGACAGTGAAGGGGGAGGAAGACTGATCTTTTGTACCTGAGCTAAGCAACAGTCAGCCGCCTCTCTCATTAGGAAGAGAAATACCGTAACACTGAATCATTAGGAGGAAACGAAAGAAAAAAAATATATATATATATGTTTGAGAGAGAAACCATCACGATCGGAACCCACGTAAAACAAGCTGATTTCGGCTGACGCGTTCTGAGTTCGGAGATTAATTCAGCTTTGAAATCAAGCACCGGTCAGCAGGTGGCACCTAAAATTAGGCTGCGTGAAGAAGGTTTAAAGGGAGCCCGCTGCGAGCGACGGGCACCGCGGCAGCAG